AGTCTGCAGGCGGGGGAGTCTGCATGCTTGTCATTCTGCCTGCAAGAAACTCTTCATCGGAAAATGGCGGAATGCTGCCTTCTTGTGAGACCGACTGTGTAAGCACTGCTCTAGGCCACTGCCAATGTCATAGCTATTGACAGGCCACCGGCCCGAGCAATGACACGGCCAGCCCCGCATCAAAGGGACAGGGTAGTAGATGCGTCCCCAGGGCAGAGTGGAAGTGGAGGGGTTATTTGCTGGTCAGTAATCCAGTCGAGGGGTTTCAGTGGCTCCAGAGCAGACTGATAAAATGGATCCAGCCCTTGGCTTCATTTTTTTCCAGTTTGGGGCCAGCAGGTGGTGTGGTGGTTAAGGGCGCTGGACTCCCATATGGTCGAATGTGATTCGAGTCCTGGACCTGGTGGCTTGCTTTCTTGCTTTTTCTCTCTCTCCCCCTCTCACTCTGCCCCTCTCTAGTCAAATTAAACAAACAAATACTAAAGTTAAATAAAATAATTCTTTCAAAAATTCTTTTTTCCAATTTAAGAAGAGTGTGTTAAAGTACACTTCACATAAATGTTTCCATCATAGCCATTTTTCCTGTGCAGCTCAGTCGGGTTAGAAGCTGCCCAGCCACCACCACCAGCTCCGGAACTCCCTCCGTCCTGGACAGCCAGAACTCGGCACCCCTCGGTGTTAAGCTCCCCGTTCTCCTTCCCCCAGCCCGGCAAGCACCAGATCTGCTTCCTCTGTGCATCTGACTATGTGTGCTTCACAGGAGCAGGCCACACTGTGCGTGTCTTTGTGGGACGGACTGAGTTCACTTAACAATGTCTGCAGCTTCGTCCATGTCGTAGCCACTGTCGGAACTTCTTTTTCAGTCCGGTGCGTGGACACACCACTTGTGGCTTACGCGTTGGTCTGCATCTGCACCCGCAGGTCACTTTCCTGTCTTCGCCATTGTGGACAATGCGTTCCGAACGTGGGTGTACAAATGGTCTTTGAGAGCCCAGTTTCACCTCTTCGGGCACCTGCTGGGTCACGTGGTAGCTCTAGATTTAATACTCTGAGGCGCCACTGCAGTTTCCCATAGCTGCAGCACCCCCACGTTCCCACCGGACCGAGGGCAGGTGACAGGGTTTGTATTAGCTGTTCTGATACACGTGAAGGCGTGGCTTCCCTTCGGTCCGTGCTTTAAGAAATATTTACTGACCACCTACTCTGTGTTCGGCAGACCCTCCGCTAGGCTGAGAGGGCAGTGACTGAGACAGGCGTCCTCAGGAAACAACGGAAATAGGTGTTTAATTACCGCCCGATCTGCTAGGAAGGGACGTGCACGGGCTATGGGGGTGTGCCATAGGAGGTGACCTGAAGTCAAGGAGGACGAGGGGTGGCCCTTTCAAAAATTTTTTTTCTAATTTCTTTTTGGGGGTGCCAGCAGGTGGCATGGTGGTTAAGGTGCTGGACTCCCACATGGCTAACCATGGTTTGCGTCCTGGGCCTGACAGCTTGCCTTCTCACTTTCCCTCTCCCTCTGGTCAAAGTAAAAAATAATGATAATTAAATTAAACAATTTTTTTTTTAATTTGTTTTATTTTGTGGTTGTTTTTTTTTTTTTTTTTTTTTTTTTTTTTTCTTTGGGGTGCTTTTTTTTTTTTTTAGTTTTTGCTATAGGGTGCATTTGTTCTCTAGAGGAAGAGAGAGAGAGAAAGAATAAGAAATCACCCCCGGGGGTATGGCCACGCTGCAATCTCATGTCCTCTCTTCTCTCGGGATTTGGGCACACGCACACATACCTGGTGTGAGTTTCAAGCTGCAGGTCCAGGATTTGAACCACAGTCGACCAAGTGGGAATCCAATACTTTAAACTCCACACCACCTGCTGGCCTAGAACTTTGAAAAAACTTTTTTAAAAAAATAGGAAGACTGGGCCAAATGGCCGCCTGTAGCCTCCTGTCACCTCCTCCAGTGGGGACCATGGTCACTGGGGCAGTCACTGCCATCGTCTGCGATTTCTGTGTGCACACCCTTGCCGCACCTCTCGCCTCTTTCCTATGTATGCCCTGTTTCACCGTGGTAAGTGGCATGTCACCGCAGTCTGAAAAACCGCAATGCTCAGGAAGGTTTCTCTCTCTTTTTAAAAAAGTTTTGTTAGAAGATGCATGTGCTTGCCAAAGCGAGACAGACAGGGAGAGAAAGTGAGAAATCACCTCCCAGAGGAGATGGCCACACCACAATCTCTTCTCTTCCATTCTCGTGGGATTTGGGGCATGCATGCACACACTCCCAGCATGGTTTTCAAACCGCCAGGTCTAGGACTCAAACCGCTCAGTTGGCCATGTAGGGTCCAACGCCTTAACCTCCATGCTACCTGCTTGCCCTAGGAAGACAGTTTTACTCATTATCTCCCACCCAGAAATAAGCGTTAACATAATTGTTTGGGTTATTTGTTTTTAGACTTTTTTTCTGGGATCCCTATCTGACATATTTTTATTTAAACAAAATGGAATATGCTGTTTTATAATCTGTTTTTCCATTTAACAAAATGTGCTAAGCTTCCCCCAGATCCTTCCAGGGCCTGATCCCTGGGCGTTGCTGGCTGTGTGGAAGTGGTGGGATCAGACAGACCTCACCTGGTCTCAGCTCTGCCACTTGCCAGCCGTGCGGCAGCCGTCGGGCTCATCCGAAGCATACCCTCATGTGCTCGGGCACAGAGGACTGTAAGGCATCTCCTGGACCTGCGGTGTCCAGTGTCCTAGCGCTCATGCGGAGAGGCGAGGAGCCCATGGCCAGAACGCCCAGTCTAGCAGAGGCCTCAGAGCTTCCAGTTCAGGTCTTCCAGCTATGAAGCCAGAGAAATCCCATTCCAAACTTTATTGTGCCAGTTTTCTTGGGCCGTCCTAGCAAAACACCACAGACGGGGTGCTGGACACGGGCATTGTTCTCTCAGTTCTGGGGGCTGGAAGCCCAAGACCAAGGGGGAGGGCAAGTGTGATTTTTCCAGAGGCCTCTCCCCTTGGTTGCCAATGGCACCTTCTCACTGTGCCCTCACACGGTCCTCCCTGGTGCTCCTGTGTCCCTGGGAGGGTTTCCTGCACAGCCTGTTCCCACTTCTGTCACAACTCGCTGGCTCCCAACAGACACTTTAAAGAAGAAAATTAAATCATTCTTGCCTCCCAGTGATAATCACTGCTAAACAGTTATAAATTTCTTTTCAGTCATTTTTCTTTTTTTTAAGGAGTTATTTTATTTAACTTTATTTTTTATTATCATTATTATTTTCCAGTTTGATCAGAAAGAGACAGAGAGAGAGAGAAGAAGTGAGAAAGCAAGCCACCAGGTCTGAGACTTGAACTGTGGTCAGCCACATGGGAGTCCAGCACCTTTAACCACCGTACCACTTGCCGGCCCCAGTCTTTTTTTCTTTAAAATGTTTTATCTTCCCCCTTCTGGGGCCAGCCAGGTGGCATGGTGGTTAAGACGCTGGATCCCACATTGCCCACTCCACAGCTTGAGTCCTGGACCTGGCAGCTTGGAAAACATGCTAGGTGCATGTGCATGCTTGCTCGGAATTCGGAGGGGAGAAGGGAGGGATCGCAGCATGGCCACCCCTCCCGAAGATAATTTCTCACTTTCCCTCTGCCTCTCTCTGTCCCTCTCCTGCAAGTGCACACACCCTATGGCAAAACCTTAAAAAAAAAAAAATCCTTATTTTTCTAAATGTTCTACAAATGACATTCCCTAGGACTGGGAGAATGTGCTAGAAGACTGGTAACCCCCGAGGACCAGAGGGTCCCAGTGGGACGATATCTGCCTCAGGCCTGTTCTGGACAGCCCCGCCTAGGACGGAGGTGAGAGCAGGCCGTGCAGAAAACCCTGCCAGCTCAGTGCTCATGACCCAGGCCGCTGAGCCTGCGAAACAAAGGGCAGGGCATGAGCGTCTGCAGAGGTGAGTCCCTGGAGTGTCCGGAGCTGGGCCGGGGCGGCCCAACATATTCCCATCTCCTGAGACAGGCAGACTAATCGCAGTTGCGCAGGAATCTGGTAGCAGGGTTCCTTCCTTCCAGGGCCCCACTAGAGAGGCCTCGCCCAGAATGAGCTTGCCTTTCAGCCGAACAAATCGCTGTTCTTGTGGGGCCTCAAAGGGCAGGTGGCTGTAACCATCCACTTGCACACAGAATTTGAGAAAAGGACTCTTCAGAAGCTAAGCAGGCAGGATGGAGCACTTGAAGCACAAGTAAATATGCAGGGACGAATCACAGAGTCCAGAGAAGCTCCTTCTTACAAAAAGGCAGAAGCTAAGATCAGGACCCAGACAGAAAATCCAGAGTATGGTGACGGCGCTCCGGCTCCTCCTGGGCTCTGGACAAGGGCCAGGAGGTGCAGGGCAGGAGCTGCGAGGAACCACCAAGAGACTGGGGTGCACGAACCTCCCAGGGACACATCGCGTGCCAGCGTAACCACAGCTACCGGATAAACACGCTTACCTTCCCAAGAGCCGGCTTTTGTCAGGAAAAGAATGCTGACACGCCGCCTACGCCTGCAGGCTCTGGACGGCATAGCTCTGCGGGGCTGTTTTGCTGCGGGGAGGAGGGAAGGCGCTACGGAA